CACATTTTATTTCTCTCCAGTATTTGATAGCTATTTGAGTTGTTTCAACTTTTTTACTATTAGCAACACACTGCTGTAAACTTTCATGTACATGTTTCATAGAAGCACATTTTCAGTAGTTTGAGGATATATTCCTAAGGGTAGAATTGTTACTCAACAATTCTACCCTTTTATTTTTTTTAATGACAGGGTCTCACTATGCAGCCCTAGCTAGCCTAGAACTCACTATGTAGGCTAGGCAGAAACAGTTCAAAGTAAGACTGGTCTACATAAGCACATTCCAGGATAGCAAAGGCTAAACAGTGAGACCTGCTACCCCAGTAAAAAAGAAAGAGGATTATGAAAGGATATTATGAACCTTGGTACATCAACAAAGTAGGTAATTTGTAAAACAGACAATCTCTACAGGCAGACAATGGCAAACCAACTCAAGATGCAGCGATCAGGTACCCGTTCTCTTTCCAGCCCTTCTGGGACCTCAGGCCTGCATCCCTATCAGGGTGGGAGAGGTTGGTCCTCCACCGATGGGAGCAGTAGACAGTGTTCCTAGTGACTGGGTCTGTGCAGTGGAGGAACGGAAGGTATCACAGTCTACCCTCTGTGTATGCCTACACCACTCAGCAGAGATGGAATGTCCTCAAGATAGGTGGCTCCAGCACCAAGTCACCTCCTTGGGGACTGTGTCTTCTCAGCAACTGCCTCCTGTTCCATTCATTCCCGGAAGGAAGGAGGCTGAAGCCATGGCCAAAAGGAAGGGAAGCAGTCTCTTCTTCTTCTTTTACTTTTTTTTTTTTATTTATTCTGTGTGTCTTTCACATCATGTATCTCGAGCCCATGCATTTCCCCATCTCTTTGCATCTGCCCTCTGCTCCTACAGTCCCCCTCCCCCTGCCAAATAAAACAAAATTTAAGGGAAAAAATTAAAAAAAAATCTCATCGTGGAAGCTGCAGTGTGACACAGTGAGTCACGCAGTAAACATCTTTGTCCACATATCTTTACTTGCAAGTGTTCATTGCAAAGAGTCATTGGTCTGGTTCGAGGCCTCTGGTTTCTACTATACCATCCATGCTGGGCCCTCCCTGGGACTCTTCCTGAATATCCTGTTGTTGCCCTGTGTCGTGGAGATCCTGCAGCTTTGGGTCTGTGGGTCAGGCCCCTTCATGCGCTCTAGCAGAGTGTAGATGGGGTGGATGTTAGGGCAGGCCAAGTCATAACCCTGGTTCTGGGCCTGGGCAGCTGCAGGGTTGGTCTGCCTGCCAGTTCTTCCCATCCTCGACACCAGGGTGAACTCTCCAGCATTGACCCAGCTAATTTACCTCTTGTAGCAATGAGCGAGGGGCCAGGCCAGTTCTCCTGCCTTTGTGCCCTCAGAGTCAGCTCTCCCACACCTACACCATCAGGACCAACTCCACTATTGCCCAGGCAAGGTGCAGGGGCCATTCTCCCAAGCACTGAAGCTGATGAGGGGCAGGGACAGCCTTTCCGCTTCCATGACCCCAGGGCCAGCTCCTTTACCTGTCCCAGGTGTCGGTGGGTAGGGCGTGGGGGGAGGGCATCTCTCTTTCATCCATGCTACCATATGTTAGGTGAGAAATGGGGACAGCACCCTCCATACACAACATTGGGGCTCAGTCACCCACAGGGCCAACTCTGCTGTGCTGCCTAGGTGAGGAGCAGGGTCCGCTTTCCTGAATGCCATAGCTTGTGGTGGTGGTGGGGGGTTGTAGGCAGTAAGGGATGAGGGGTAAGGAGGGCATCTCTTCCCTACCCATACTACCACATGACAGTAGTGAGGATAGCTCTCCACGCTTACAACTTCGAGGCTGGCTCACCCACACCTCCACCAACAGGGTCAGCTCTACTGTGTTGCCCAGTTGAGGTGTAGGGCCTGCTCTCCCGAGTGCTGCAGCTGGTGCGGGGCAGAGACAGCTCTCCCACTCTTGTGACCTCAGGGCCAGTTCTCCCACTTGCCCCAGGCATTGATGGGGGGAGAGAAGGGCCCCCCTCCGCCCCGTCCATGCTGCCACAAGATAGACTGAGTATTGGGGACATCTCTCCCATGCTCATGGCTCCAGGGCTTGCTCACCGGCACCTGCGCCAACAGATTGGCTCTATTGTGCTGCCCAGGTAAGGTGCAGGACCGGGAGGCAGCTTGGCAGCTTCTTTAGGAGGCCAAGGAGCGTGTATCTTATCTCTGCAGTGGTGCCCACAGGCACCAGGAGCAGCCGGAACCTGCAGGGTTGCAATGGGGCCATTCTAAAGAGACACTTGTGACCTCTACCTTTGACTATAAGACTATTGAGACACTGCACTCCAACAAATTGGAAATCTTGTACTGGGGAGAGAAGAATGATGGCTATGGCTAGGCAGGGACAGGAACTTATAAGGAAAGAGACTTGCAACTTGTCAGACCACCCTGCAGGACAGAATGGGGCCAAAACAATGATGGGTCAATAATTCTGGTAGTCGGAGAGATGGCTCAGTGGTCAAGAGCTGAGGAGAAGCCAGGTTCAATACCCAGCACCCACATGGCAGCTCACAGCTGTGTGTAATTCCAGTTTTAGGGGATTTGACACCCTCACACAGACATACATGCAGGCAAAACACCAACGCACATAAAATAAAGTTATTAAAAATATGGAAATAAGCCGGGCGGTGGTGGCGCATGCCTTTAATCCCAGCACTAGGGAGGCAGAGCCAGGTAGATCTCTGTGAGTTCGAGGCCAGCCTGGACTACCAAGGGAGTCCCAGGAAAGGTGCAAAGCTACACAGAGAAACCCTGTCTCGAAAAACCAAAAAAAAAAAAAAATGGAAATAAAACAACATATAACTTTGACCCCTACTTAACCCTGAACATCATGTCAAAGATGGATTGGGGGGGGGGTCACTAGACCCTCTGTCTGTTTCCAATGTGGCCACAATAGACAAATCGCCTTCTTCTGAATTCTAATGTCAACCAATGACTCTTTTGATTGGTATACTTATTGAGGATGATGGTAGAGCCTGGCTTGCCAGGACTGCCAAAACACGGACTCTGACTTTGATAATTCTGGTACAGGACCAGGCTGGGAGCTACCTAAGGTTCCAAAGAGAGTTAAGATGAGGGAAAAGAATGTGAACACAGCTGGTTTCTATGGTTTTATGATTGTAGGTAGCATCCCCAGAATTCACACGATGCAAATAAGTGAACAGTAACTGGATGGCAGAGTCGGGGCTACAGGTAATGTGCTCATCTCGCATGAATGAGGCCCTAGGTTAGATCCAGCGAAAAGAAAAATAAAAAAGAAAAGAAAAAGGAACTGGACAGCCAAGGGTAAAATAAGAAGCTGGACCCTTACCTGATACTGTGTACAGATACCTAAATGGAGGCATGGAAACTACCAAACTCCTAGAAAACATGGGGATAAATCTTCATGGCCTTGCATTTAGAAGATACCAATAAGTATCTACAGCATAAAGAAAAACAGGAATTTCAAGGACCAGAAGACTGGAAGAACACGGAGCTGGGGGTGGAGGGTTGGAGCCACAGACTGGCAATCAATCTAGAACGCACCTGGTGGACACTCTATTTCCGATGGGCTCTGACCGGCTCTCTGGAGGTCAGCTTGTAGATCACCGACGGGCTCGGCTGTCACTATACATCGGAGGCTCTGTAAGAACAAGGCAGGCACTGCCTTAAGTGGCTGTTGGGTCTCACCATCACAAGGCCATCTCCCATTCCCTTCCCTCCAGCTTCTAAAACAACCTGGACCTTCGACCCTCCCTCACTTCTAAAACGGCCCAGCACTTGTGCTCAGATTCCTCTTTGCTTCTTACAGAAGCTGGATGTACTCCTCTCTTTGACTCTTTCCTGTTTAAACAAATTAAATTTGTATGCACATAGTGCAAAATAAGAGGAAAGTCTTTAAAATAAAAATTTCATTTTCTCAACTAGAAATAACATGCATCCTTTAATATACTGTCTTGTTTCCCATGTGCCTACTTAATCATCTCTCTCTCTTTCTCTTTCTCTCTCTCTCTCTCTCTCTCTCTCTCTCTCTCTCTCTCTCACACACACACACACACACACACACACACACACACACACACACACACAGTTTTTAAAAATGCAGTCAGGAGCTGAGAAGATGGCTCAGTGGATAATACACTTTGCCACACAAACATGAAGACCTGAGCTCAGATTCCCAAAACTCATATAAAGCTGGGCACAATGGCACACATCTGAAATCTCAGGGCTCCTATGGCTGGCTAGAAAGTGCAGACCGAGAGTCCCTAGAAGCTCATGGGACAGTCAGCAGCATGCTCAGTGGGGAACAAGAGAGATCCTGCCTCATGAGGTAGAGGTGAGGGCTGACACCCGAGGCTGCCTTCTGATCTCCAGGCAAATTCCATGGCACGGCGTTCACACCAACTCATTAAGTGTGCACACACAGATTTTTTCAAAATGCATTCAGGTATACCTTAGGTAAAACTTAACATCTTAATCATTTTAAACATTTAGGCCAGCAGTGCTAAGAGCATTCACATTGTTGTGTAAACAAAATCCAGAATTCCCAACCTGCCCCGGACTTCCCTTCTGGACAAGAGCTCCCATCCTGCCCCGGACTTCTCTTCTGGACAAGAGACCCCATCATGCCCTGACTTCCCTTCGGGACCAGAGAGAGAGCTCCCATCCTACCCCAGACTTCCCTTCTGGACCATAGAGAGTTCCCATCCTGCCCCGGACCTCTCTTCTGGACAAGAGCTCCCATCCTGCCCCGGACTTCCTTTCTGGACAAGAGAGCTCCCATCCTGCCCCGGACTTCCCTTTGGGACCAGAGAGAGAGCTCCCATCCTACCCCAGACTTCCCTTCTGGACCACAGAGAGTTCCCATCCTGCCTCGGACCTCTCTTCTGGACAAGAGCTCCCATCCTGCCCTGGACTTCCCTTCTGGACAAGAGCTCCCATCCTGCCCCGGACTTCCCTTCTGGACAAGAGCACCCATCCTGCCCTGGACTTCCCGTCTGGACAAGAGCTTCCATCCTGCCCCAGAGTTCCCATTTGAACAAGAGAGCTCCGATCTGGACAAGAGAGAGACTTCCTGAATCTGTCAGCTCTGTCTGAACCAAATGCACTGATAAGACCAAGAATGAACCACAAGGAGATGGGCCTACGTCAAGGCAGAAGTACATACAACAAAATGAAGAGCAATACAGCATCACCAGAACCTAGCCCGCCTCCAACATCTAGACCTGAACATCAAAAATTGGAAGAAGCAGAAGAGAACAGCCTTATGAATAACATCATGAAGAAGGTAGAGGCTTGTGTAGAGGAAAAGACAAAATAAAGGGAAGAACTCTATAAACAACTAGAGGAAAGGGCAAACAAATTAGAAGAAAACAATAAAGTCCTGGAAGAAAACAATAAAGTACTGAAAGAAAATCATGAAAAAGCAATGAAACAAATGAAGGAAACAGTCAAAGACCTGAAAAGGGAAATAGAAAAAATGAAGACACAAACAGAGGGAATGCTGGAAAAAGAAAATCTCAGTAAACGATCAGGAACTTCAGATGCTAGTATAACCAACAGAATGCAAGAGATGGAAGAGAGGATCTCTGGCGTTGAAGATACAGTAGAAGAAATAGATTCATCAGTCAAAGAAAACACTAAAGCCAACAAAGTCATGAACCAAAATGTCCAAGAAATTTGGGACACCATGAAAAGACCAAACCTATGAATAATAGGGATAGAGGAAGGAGAAGAATACCAACTCAAAGGCACAGAAAATATATTCAACAAGATCATAGAAGAAAACTTTGCCAACTTAAAGAAGGAAATGCCTATGAAGATACAAGAAGCCAATAGGACACCAAACAGACTAGACCCCCCAAAAAAGTCCCCTTGCCACATAATAATTAAACAACTAATTGTAGAGAATAAAGAAAGAATATTAAGAGCAGCAAAGGAAAAAGGCCAAGTGACTTATAAAGGCAAACCCATCAGAATAACACCCAATTTCTCAATAGAGACTTTGAAAGCCAGAAGGACCTGGACAGATGTAATGCAGACACTAAGAGACCATGGATGCCAGCCCAGACTAATATACCCAGCAAAACTTTCAATCATCATAGACAAGGCATTCCAAGACATAAACAAGACATTCCAAGACAAAGCCAGATTTAAACAATACTTATCCACAAACCCAGCCCTACAGAAAGCACTAGAAGGAAAATTCCAACCTACAGAAAGCACTAGAAGGAAGTCAGATACACCCTCGAAAACACAGGCAATAGATAAAGCCATAGCAGTAAACCCCAAAGAAGAGAAATACACACACACTACCATCAAAAAATAAGAGGGATGAACAATTACTGGTCATTAATATTCCTTAATATCAATGGACTTAATTCACCTATAAAAAGACATAGGCTTACAGAATGGATATGAAAGCAAGACCCATCTTTCTGCTGCATACAAGAAACACATCTTCAATTCAAAGGCAGACACTACCTAAGAATAAAAGGCTGGGAAAAGACTTTCCAATCAAACGGTCTTAAGAAACAAGCGGATGTAGCCACCCTGATATCCATCAAAATAGACTTCAAACTAAAATCAATCAAAAGAGATCAAGAAGGGCATTACATACTCATCATTACCAAACTCCTTCTATGAGGCTACAATTACCCTGATTCCTAAACCAAACAAGGATACAACAAAGAAAGAGAAATACAGACCGATCTCCCTTATGAACATTGATGCAAAAATACTCAAGAAAATACTGGCAAACAGACTCCAAGAACACAGCAAAACAATTATCCACCATGATCAAGTAGGCTTCATCCTAGGGATGCAAGGGTGGTTCAACATACGAAAGTCCGTCAATGTAATACACCATGTAAACAAACTCAAAGAAAAAAACCACATGATCATCTCACTAGATGCAGAAAAGGCATTTGACAAAATCCAACACCCCTTCATGATAAAAGTCTTGGAGCGATCAGGAATACAGGGAACATACCTAAACATAATAAAGGCAATTTACAGCAAGCCAACAGCCAACATCAAATTAAATGAAGAAAAACTTAAAGCAATTCCACTAAAATCAGGAACGGGGCAAGGCTGTCCACTCTCCCCATA